AGGTTGGGGGGAACTTGGGAAACGGGATGTTTGGGATAAAGGAAGGTCGGATAGGGGAGCAGGGAAGCACACATCTTAATTAAGGGAGCCATCTTAGGGTTGGCAAGAGATTTGGTGCTCCCAGGTGCCCAGGGCGATGTCCCCAGTTAGTTCCTGGGGCAGCTGAGGACAGAGAACCTGAAATGACCCTAGCCTATAGCCATACTGATGAATATCTTGCATATCACCATAGAACCTTCATCTGGAGATGGATGGAGATAGAGACAGAGACCCACACTGGAGCACCGGACTGAGCTCCCAATGACTTTTCAGTCTTAATAGTTATCCAAACCTATCATATGGAAGTATTTGCTTCAAAATTCTGTTTCTAGAAAAGAAATATAAGAGAAGGGAACACATGAACTATTTCTTAGAAAGGCTAATATTGTACCTGGACAAAGGCAAACTAGACAAAATATTCCCATAAAAATTGTTTATTTAGATTTTAGAAATTTAATTTACATGCATAATATGAAAACCTGAGCTTTCCTAAGTTGGCCTTCCCGCAGCTCTAGGAGCTAACCATACAGGTTCAGAAATGCACCACAGAGATGCAGATGGCACATTTTCATGGACAGTGTGTGACTGGTTTTTTTTTTTCTTTCTTTTCACAATGTGGGAATTCTTCAGGTGTGTGTGTCAGCTGACAGAGAGCACTGGGCTGTGTCCTGGGAATTCAGCAAGGTCCTCTGAACAAGAATAACTCTAAAATGAGGTCAAGTAATTACACTAGGCAGAGCATCTGATGACTCCATTAGATGTGCTTACCTTTCCGGTAATTCAGAGCCCTACTTGAGGGTAAGAGTGACATCAGCCCAGAGCACCAGATGATAAACATAAAATGTGACATGGCCCCGTAATACGCCTGCTGGGAACAGGACACAAAATCCCATTTCCAAATAGTGTAATGAGTTCCTTCATTTATTTGTCCCAATTCTTCTTCTCTTCAACAGGCTGATTGCTGATAAGGAGTCACATGTGTGTATGAATGTGCCAGTCACCCAAGCCCCTGCTGCTTGGTAATGATGTCCAAATCAATAGCTTAACTGGCTATGTTCTTTCTCATTCAAAAGAGAGGAAACTTATAACAAAAAATGAGTGTATTTTCAAGAAGTGATCAAAGAGGAAGAGCAGGACAATGAGAAATAAGGGAGAGAGAAAGCATGTGTGTGTGTGTGTGTGTGTGTGCGTGAACTTGTGTACATGTGTGTGCAAATGTGCAAATATGTGTGTGTGAATGTGTGTCTATGAGTGTGTGTATGGGCATGTGTGGTGAAGGCATTTGTGGAGCTGAAAACCACACAGAGAAGGTGTTACAAAGCTTGTGTCAATGATTATGAACATCAACTAGGAGACTATCCAGAGAACATTTGGTCATTGAACTGAAAGCCTGTTGAAAACAGTTTAACTTGAAGTGAAAATCTAATGGAGTAGTATTTTCACTGAGATTTTGTAATCCTCAGTCAACCTCTGGCTCATTTTTTTTTTTTTTTTGTTTTCTCCTCACAGTACACACACACAAATCCGCACACTGGGCTATTTCTGTGAGGAAGTACTCTAGAGCTATGCGCCAGAATTGCTTGCTGAAAACTGCACAAGTTGGCGTATTTTTTTTTCAAAACAATATTTGTAGCAGATGCCAGAAAAATTTTCCTGAAATCCTTGTGTTATTGACTGTTAAAAGTCCCAGTATATTTGCCTGAGCTCCAAAGGGGACATTCCCAAGCAACTGTCAGGTTCTCTTCAATGACAGCATCCCAAGCAGGAGGAAATTGGTAATGGGGTCAATCTAGTTTGGTGGAAACATCCTTCAAAAATCATCCCTTTATAAAATGCATTGAGTTTTTCAGAGTGACTCTCACCTTTAATCCCAGGACTTGGACTACATGGCAAGTTACAGACCAGACACGACTACATACTGTGACCCTATCTCAAAATCAACAAACACAAATGCATTGTCATTTAAATATCAGTTCTCTGATGCAATTCCTTGGTTTATGAACATACTAACGTGATTAGTCTAACTCCCATGACATCCCATGATTGTACCCTCTCCAATATCTTATTAGATGAGTACCTCATTGTCAAGTGTTTACATGCTTTATCAGAATTAGACACAAAGTCCAGTCTGTTCCCCTTTTAAAATACTATAACATAAACAAATATATGAATAGTGACACTCATGCCATGTACTAATGGGTATTTGATTTGTTAAAAAGAAGTCAACTTGATAAGGGTTTAAAATGAACAATAGTTTCCATTCATAAAGTGCCCAAGAAGGACTCTCCAGTCAGGATGCTTCCTTCATGACTGAAAACAAAGCTGCTCCAGCCTTGATCTACCCTATGTGGCTTTCCTATGCTGTCCTGTTTATTCACCCCTACACGTCCCTTTCAGAAGCAAACTTCTTTTCTCAGGAATTGCTACTAGACATCCTCTTCATGTGCCTTGATCTAAGTTTAAGCAAAATGTGATAATTGCATACAATGGGTATTATTTATTCTTA